TTGGAAGAAGTGCAGCCAGAGTGCTCCTTGGAGGCCAGGATAGCTAAGCTTCGTCTCTCATACTTAGGACATACTGTCAGGAGGGACCTGTCGCTGGAGAAGGAGATCATGTTTGGTAAGGTGGAAGGTCAGAGGAAGACCCCCAGTGAGATGGATTGTCAAAGTGGCAGCATCGATGGACTTAAATGTGGCAAAGCTTGGCAGTTTGAGCTCATCAGTCACTCGTTGGAAACCCTTTACAGGGTCGCTATGGGTTGGAACGGACTCGACGGCATTTAACAAAGCAAACTTGCAGAGTCCTGGTATGGCACTGTAGGGTAAGCACTGGACTGCAAGGTCCTCAGAAACCCTCCTCTACAGGGTCGCTATGAGATGGAAACGGACTCACCAACCACCACATACTTGTAGCTCTTTTGAGGTAGTCTGTGCCCTGGGCAGTTTGTTACGGGGAGGAGCCTCGCCCGCCATTCCCTCCTCTGTCCTTTTCCTGTAGCACAGCCAGCCGGGAGATCTTCCCGGGCCCGGCAGTTTAGCCTCTTCAGCTGATTTCTCTGTGAGTGACTCCCCGGGAAGGAATGCCCTCTGAGATGGTGATTCCGATTTCTGTTTGAAAAGCTTATCCTCTGTTGCTGAGAAATGAAAAAGAAAATATTCTCTGTTTTGGTTGGAACTGCACAAAACCAAAGTTGTGCGTTCTCATGCTCCCCGGGCAGCGGTGCTTACCTCACAAGCACTATTTAGGGAGCGGAGCTGTCTTCTGCTGGCCCCCCAGAATAATGCTGTTGTGCAGATAAAGACCCAAACAAGGGGGAGCCCTGCGTATGGAAATAAGCAAACACACCACCCTGCCAGACCCCAAACAGCAGCCGTGTAGGAAAGAGCGTCCAGAATTCAGCTCATTTAAAGTTTCACACTGAGGTTGGAACCTCTGAGTAGCTGGGAAAACCAGAGAGGGGCACTGCTGAATACGTCACAGGCCCGCAAGGGTTTGCCTGAAAACACTGGGGTCAAAGCCGGTTTCCGGCACTATATGGTCCCCCGCACGAGCCGTCTCGGGGTCACGTGGGAGTTCATCACAAATGCAGACTCTCGGGTTCTGCTGAGCCAGAAGCTGCATTTTCACAAAACTCCCAGGTAGCCTGTATGCACTGCTCTGGGCCCTTGGGCAGGAAGTGCATATGAACCCACCGGCGACCCGGTGGACTGGAGGTGACGGCTTGTCCTGTGGGATGAGTGACCTCCCTGGTCTGTGGTCACTCCTCAGGCCTCTTTTTCTGGTTTTCTTTCAGCCGTATCAGCAGCGACAGCTTTCTATGTGACTGCCAGCTGAAATGGCTGCCCCCGTGGTTGAGGGGGAGGATGCTGCAAGCCTTGGTGACAGCCACCTGTGCCCACCCACAGTCCCTGAAGGGCCAGAGCATTTTCTCCGTGCCCCCGGAAAGTTTTGTCTGTGGTAAGATGTTCTTGTGTGGGGGGAGGAGGAAGCTGTGATCAGAGAAACGCCAACCCAGGGTTACAAATCAGCTGCTGGATGCAATTCATTTCCCACTGAAACCACACATAGTATTTACCGGAGAGTTGCCTCATGATGTGGTTCTTAGACTCTGTAGAATTCATGAGAAGAGAGCATGAATTGGTAGTTAAAAATCCAAATAACCAGTTACAGGAAGACTGTTCTGTTGTTTCAAGCTGGCCCTGGTGCCTGGAGTGAGCTGTGAATTTACTCAGGGTATGAGCCTGGGGTTTTAATGTGTGTTTCTTTCCAACCCTAAGAATGAAAGGTTAAATACAGGAAGAGCGAGTCTCAGGAGTATCGTTGCCCTAGTATAAACAATTCCTTGATGTTGACTTCTACTCTTGCTGTTCCTCGTACCTACTAAAATCTCCTTTCCTTCAGGTTGTTGTAGCGTAGCCCGTGCCATCTTTTGGGAGTGAGTATCTGAAACCAAGTTTGGTTGCCAGTAGCACAGAGAATGTTGAAGAGGAGAGAGATAACACACATCTTCCCGTTCCTACAGGCGGGATAAGTCCTCACCGTCAGGACAGGATCCAAGAATGAAACTTGAGTTCTCCTTGTGTTTGCTCAAAGCAGGAGCTTAGTGGTGATTTCCAGGCTGAAGGTGGGCTGCTGGGCAGGTTGGGTCCCAGCTGAGAGTCCCCTCCTAGCCCCAGGATCCCTGCTGTGGTGGTCCTGACCAGAGTGCATATGGTGGTTGCAGGACCCTGGTGGTGCACTTCTCCGTCGTAGTTTTTGGCTGTAGCGATTGTCAGTGTGCCTGCTAGGCTCAAGTTGCCTTCCACCAACTCCCAGCACTTCTGAGAGTAGACACTCCAGGGAGAATTCCAGAACAGAGTTATTGATGTAATAGCAGCCTTCCAGGATGACCTTTACTTAATGATCAAGAAGGAAAATGGAACTATCTCTTACCAGGATCTCAAAAGTGGGTCAAGGCCCCATTGAGATAGGACATTACACTAAGGGTGTGCACAGCTCCCATTCTTGGTCACAGAATAACTGTGTAATTAATGGTCTAACAAGTCACCAGGCTCTTGCCCATTAAACACTTTCTAGCACTCCCTGTAGTTCACCTTCTGTGGCCTACTGTATGATGCCTACTGTAAGAAAGGCCCAGAATATGGAAGTTTGTAGAGGCACAAAGGAGATTAATTGTTGCCTAGGGCTGGTATGAATAGCAGAGAAACACTGTTAGATATATGCCGGAAAATGAGCCCCTCAGGTTGGAAGGCACTCAAAATGCCACTGGGGAAGAGCTGCCTCCCCAAGGTAGAGTTGACCATGATGACGCGAATAGAGTTAAGCTCGTGGGAGAAAAGCCTACAGAATCTTTATTTGCTGATGGACACAATTCAAAATGAAACAGCTGTAAACATCCATTGAAAATCGGAACATGAAATGTATGAAGTATGAGTCTGGGAAAATTGGAAGTTGTCAAATGTGAAGTGGAACGCATAAATATCAATATCCTAGGCATTAGTGACCTGAAATGGACTGGGATTGGCCATTTTGAATCTGACAACCACATGGTTTACTACGCCGGGAATGACAAATTGAAGAGGAATGGTGTTGCGTTCATCGTCAAAAAGAACATATCCAGATCAGTCATGAGGTACAATGCTGTCTGTGATAGGATAATATCCATATGCCCAGTTAATACCACTACTATTCAAATTTATGCACCAACCACTAAAGCCAGTGAGGAGGAAATAGAAGAATCCTACCAACTTCAATCTGAAATTGATCAAACATGCAATCAAGATGTATCATTACCGGTGATTGGAATGCAAAGGTTGGGAGCAAAGAGGAAGGATCAGTAGTTGGAAAACATGACCTTGGTGATAGAAATGATGCTGGAGAACACATGATAGAATTCTGCAAAATAAATGATTGGTTCATTTCAAATACCTTCTTTAGACAGCATAACAGACGACCGTATACACATGGACCTCACCAGATGGAATACATAGAAATCAAATTGACTATATCTGTGGAAAGACAAGATGGAAAAGCTCCATATCATCAGTGAAAACAAGGCCAGGGGCAGATTGTGGAACAGACCGTCAATTACTCATACACAAATTCAATCTGAAGCTGAAGAAAATGAAAACAAGTCCACAAGAGCCTAAATATGACCTTGAGTATATCCCACCTGAATTGAGAGATCATCTTAAGAACACATTTGCTACATTAAACACTAAAGATTGAAGACCCAGAAGAGTTGTGGGATGACATCAAGAACATCATACATGAAGAAAGCAAAAAGTCATTAAGAAGACAAGAAAGAAGGAAAAGGTCAAAATGGATGTCAGAAGAGACACTGAAACTTGCTCTCCAGTGTAGAGATGCTAAAGCAAATGGAAGAAATGACGAGGTCCAAGAGCTGAACAGAAAATTTCAAAGATCAGCTCGAGAAAATAAAGCCAAATATTACATCAAAATGGGCAAAGATCTGGAGTCAGATAACCAAAAGAAGAACACGCTCAGCATTTCTCAAGCGGAGGAAACAAGCAAAAATTCAAGCCTCGACTTTCGTTATTGAAAGATGCAGAAAGCATCAAGAGACGATGGAAGGACTACACAGTCACTGTACCAAAAGGAGATGGTTAATGTTCAGCCGTTTCAAGAGGTAGCATATGATTAAGAGCCAGTGATACTGAAGGAGGAGGTCCAAGGTGCACTGCAGGAATTGGCAGAGAACAAGGTACCAGGTTAATGAATTAAAAACTGAAATCTTTCAAGAAAGTGAGGCGGCACAGGAGGCACTCATTCATCTCTGCCAAGAAATTTAGAGGAAAGACAACTATCTGGCCGACTGATTGGAAGAGATCAATGTTTGTGCCCATTCCAAAGAGAGGTGACCCAAGAAAATGCGGAATCATCAGACAATCTCTTTGATATCCCAAGCAAGTGAAGTTTTGCTAAAGGTAATACAGATATAGCTACAGTCATACATTGACAGAGATCTTCCAGAGGTTCAAGCCAGATTCAGAAGAGGCCGTGGAACAAGAGATATCATTCCTGATATCCAACGGATCATGGCTGAAAGCAGACAATACCAGAAAGATGTTTACCTGTGCTTTATTGACTACACAAAGGCTTTCGATTGTGTGGATCATGACAAGCTATGGACAACATTGCCAAGTATGAGTATTCCAGAACACTTAATTGTGCTCATGAGGAATCTGTACCAGGACCAAGAGGCAGTTGTTTGAACAGAGCATGGGAACACTGAATGGTTTAAAAATAAAAAAGGTGTGCCACAAGATTGTGATCTTTCACCATACTTATTCAGTCTGTATGCTGAGCAAATAATATGAGAAGCTGGGTTCTGTGAAGAAAAACGTGGCATCAGGATTGGAGGAAGACTCATTAACAACCTTCGATGATACAACCTTGCTTGCTGAAAGTGAAGAGAACTTAAAACATTTACTGATGAAGATCAAAGAGCACAGCCTTCGGTATGGATTGCATCTCAATGTCAAGAAAACTAAAATCACCACTGGACCAATAAACAACATTTTTATCAACGGAGTAAAGATTGAAGTTGTTAAGGACTTCATTCTTCTTGGATCAACTATCAACACTCACGGAAGCAGCAGTCAAGAGATCAGACGACGTATTGCATTAGGCAAATCTGCTGCACAAGACATTTTGAAAGTGTTGAAGAGCAAAGATGTCAGCTTGATCCAAGCTGTGTTATTTTCAGTAACCTCATATGCATGCGAAAGCTGGACGGTGAATAAGGAAGAACATAGAAGAATTGATGCTTTTAAATTATGGTGTTGGAGAAGAATATTGAAATTGCCATGGGCTGTCCATAGAACCAGTAGATCCGTTTTGGAAGAAGTGCAGCCAGAGTGCTCCTTGGAGGCCAGGATGGCCAAACTTCATCTCTCAGACTTCGAACTTATTGTCAGGAGGGAGGGACCAGTCACTGGAGAAGGATATCATGTTTGGTAAGGTGGAAGGTCAGAGAAAAAGAGGAAGACCCCCCAGTGAGATGGATTGTATTTTGTTCTGTTGTACATAGGGTCGCTATGAGTTGGTACTGACACGATGACGCCTAACAACAACATACTGTAAAGGGGGAATTATTAGAAAGTGAATGTAACTAACATAAAATTCCCCCCTCCAGTACAGAAGTCTTAGTTGACAGGCTTCCCCACCCCCCACCCCCACCCCCTGTTATCATGCTGCTGACTTCTGACCTCTGTGGTCAGCCAGTGTGGCACTGTAGGATTAGAACTAGACTCTAGACTGCTCATGACATGGTCTGTGGTTCCCACCTACCACCCCCTTCTTGGAAATGTTGTACTGGGTTGCTATGAGTCAGAACCAACTTCACGGCACAGAACTCCTCCAAGGTTGATTCTTTGTCTTAGGATTGTTCATTGAGCTTCTTGGATGTGGAGGTTAATGGTTCCTACCAGAGTAGGAGAAACTGGGCCAGTTCTTCCAATGTTCTTTTCATATCCTTGTAAAATGTCCCCTTTCTTAGACTCCCCGTCATTTGTATGTTGGTCTGCTTGTTGCTGGCTCATAGGTATGTGACCCTGTTCGTTTATTATTATTTTGCTTTTTGACTGAGTAACGTATTTTCAAATCTCTCGGGTTTGCTGTCACCTAGGTTCTGCCCTCCAGTCCCTCGGGTGAAGTTTTCATATCACTTAACTGTACTTCCAGCTCCAGAATTCTGTTTGGGTCACTACATAACGGTGAAAAACTAGTCTTCCCTTTTCCTTCAATTCCTGTGGACGTCTCATTCCACTGATTTTCATTTAAAGCTTTGTGGTGGTGAGCAACGGCTACTGATCATTGTCATCAATGGCCAGGAATACGGTTACTAGATAGTAACAGTGACATATTGCTAAGACGGGACCATTGATGGGTTCCTAGACCACTCCATACCTCACAGTCATGGTTAGGCTGCCAGGGAGTAGGCGCATAGGTGGTGGTTAGAACTATGTGCTGAAAGAAACGGGACGAGGACCAGTTACGATGCCACGAAGTTCAATTTTTCTTAATGAGATTCAGCTTTTTATTTTTTTGTTTTAAACCAACACTCCATGGATTGTTTTAAATGTTTGCTGGTTAATTTCTGTAATTCTGAAAAGGATGATTTTGACCATTTCCGCTGGGGTTCATTGCTTTGACGGAAGCCACAGATTGAGAGGGCCTTCCTTTGCAAACATTTTATATGTACAAGACAGCTTCCAAAAGTTCATGGAAAAAGTGGAATTTAAAGAGAGCAGATTTTTCCCACGACCGTTTTGAAGGTCCCTCATTTACACCCTATTCCTCCTGTAGTAAGGTTTCTGGGTCAGGCTGTGCAGTTATAACTGGTTCATGCCTCTTAGTATAAAGTGTGTTTTGTATAAAAGTCTGTAGGTAAAGCCAGTTGTCATCTCGAGGAAACTTCTGGTTAGTCTGATCATTTAGTACTGGTAGATTTATTTTCAATCAGGGATGACTCCTGGGCATTTAACTGGATCAAATACCTGTGCCCCAACTTCTTTCCAGTGCTCCGTGTTGCTGCGAAGTCACAGGGACCAGGAAAAATGTGTGTCGTGGATGTTTAACAATGTGCTCACTCACTGTCTGACACATTTTCCTGGTAGTTGGGTGACTTACATTTGGTCCTTTACCCCCAGATGACTTTCCGAAGCCGCAGATTATCACCCAGCCAGAGACGACCATGGCTGTACTGGGCAAGGATATCCGGTTCACGTGCTCGGCAGCTAGCAGCAGCAGCTCTCCCATGACCTTTGCCTGGAAGAAGGACAATGAGGTTCTGCTCAACGCAGACATGGAGAACTTTGCCCATGTCCGTGCACAGGGTGGGGAGGTGATGGAGTACACCACGATCCTGCACCTCCGTCACGTCACTTTTGGGCACGAGGGCCGCTATCAGTGTATCATCACCAACCACTTCGGCTCCACCTACTCACACAAGGCCAGGCTCACTGTGAATGGTATGGAAAGGGCATCTGGTGGGGGTGTTACTATTCTCTTATGCCACACCTTTCTGCTCCCTGTTGTCCCTGCCAGAGATGGTTACCATAGGAGACGTCCTCCATCCACCTCACTGGGATGTTGTCATTACATCTTGCTGTCTTGGTGTGCCCCACAGCAAGCACATTTTACACATTGAAGGGTTATTCACTGAGCGCTATAGGGTATTTTTGTGTGGCTTTAGTTTTAATCCAGTTTTGGTAGATGAATTTGTGGGGTGAAATTGTGGAGTTTTATTCTTATCCCCCCATGAGTCCCTGGGTGGAGCTGTAGGATCAACACTGGACTGAGAACCACAAGGTTGGCATGCCATGATGAAATAGGTCAAGCTGTTTGAGCTTACCGTAGGCACCTTAGAAAAGACAGGCCTGGTCAAAGGGTCCAGCTCAGAGCTGAGTGCGCAGAGACAGCTATGATGGCAGGACGCCGGCAGCCCCTGGAAGCCCGCTGCTGTGCATTTAAAGGGAGGGCATCCTCCGTGGCCATGGTCAGACATGGGCAGGAAGCTTGCCAGGAGACTGTGATGGTCTGTGCATCTAACTTGCTGTGTTTGTCTATTTCAGTGTTGCCATCATTCACCAAAATGCCCCATGACATTGCCATCCGGACCGGCACCATGGCCCGCCTCGAATGTGCTGCCCGGGGCCACCCCAACCCCCAGATTGCTTGGCAGAAGGACGGAGGCACAGACTTCCCCGCTGCTCGGGAGCGACGCATGCACGTCATGCCAGACGACGACGTGTTCTTCATCACTGATGTGAAAATAGACGACATGGGAGTGTACAGCTGTACCGCCCAGAACTCAGCAGGCTCCGTGTCCGCCAATGCCACCCTGACTGTCTTAGGTTCGCTTACTGAGGTCTCCATCCTAGGGTACTTACAGGCAGGGTTTTTCCATCAGCTCTGTGGAGCTTGGAATACGTAGATGAGCTGGGGTTGCCTAAGGTTTTCTTGGAGTCCAGGTTGTATGGTGGTTAACGCACTCGGCTGCTGACCAAAAGCCTTGACCCCAGCAGTTGCTCCATGGGAGGAAGACAAGACAAGTCTGCACCTTATAGAGTGTTGCCTTGGAAGCCTTCTGGGGGCACTTTACTCTGCCCTAGGGTTGCTGGAGTTTGGGTTTTGATGATTGTCCTCAATGGATGGCTCCATTTCTTAAAACAAAGTTACAGCCAGTGAACTAAGAGTCTTCATAGGGTGTAGGGGTCAAATTCTAGTGAGCTTGCCCTTTGAATTGGGCAGGAAGGTCTTGTTTAGGAGGACGACTCTGGTCCTGGGGTCTAGAAACCAGAGACCTTTCAAGCTGGAGGTTCGTTCTCTTCATTGAAGCCGTCCCTAGAAGGCTTTTAGGATCCAGTCGGCAGCTCTCCTGGAGGTGTTGGATAGCCCTTTATCTAGAAGAGAAGGCAGCTCTGTAGTGACCAGGACCAGAAGAGTAACTTGAATGATCTCTACTGACTTCTTGCAGAAACGCCGTCCTTGATGGTACCATTGGAAGACCGTGTGGTGTCTGTAGGAGAAACCGTGGCACTCCAGTGCAAAGCCAGTGGGAGCCCGCCGCCTCGCATCACCTGGCTCAAGGGGGACCGGCCTCTGGGCCTCACTGAGAGACACCACTTTACCCCTGGCCACCAGCTACTTGTTGTTCAGAACGTGGTGGTGGAGGATGCAGGCAGGTACACCTGTGAGATGTCCAACGCCCTAGGCACTGAGCGAGCCCACAGCCAGCTGAGTGTCTTGTCCACCACTGGCTGCAGGAAGGACGGGACCAGCATGGGCATCTTCACCATCGCCGTGGTGTGTAGCATCGTCCTGACGTCTCTGGTCTGGGTGTGCATCATCTACCAGACCAGAAGGAAGAGCGAGGAATACAGCGTCACGAACACAGGTCAGATGGACTTCTGGGGAGGAGGGAGGCCAGGGCTCTTGTCAAGAACATCAGTACATTTAGGACTACAGAACCTCTGGAAGGTGGCCATTCTGCGTAGCTGAGGCTTTACGTCTGTGGGCACTGTTTAGAGTCTGTTATGAACTCTGCTTGTAGGTTTCCACCCCATTGTTTCAGAAGCATGCTTGGAACAGGCCTTGTGTTGGGTTGCAGTACTTCTCTTACTTCTGCCTCCCTTCCCATCATTCTCTGTGTCTGAGGACTCAGCCACTGATTGAGGGAGGTTACATAGGCTCTGTGAACAGCTTAGAGGAGTGGATTGGGGCCCTGATGCCTGGCTCTCGTATCTCCTTCCAGATGAAACTATCGTGCCACCTGACGTTCCAAGCTACCTCTCCTCTCAGGGGACCCTTTCTGACCGACAGGAAACTGTGGTCAGGACTGAGGGTGGCCACCAGGCCAATGGGCACATCGAGAGCAACGGTAAGACCTCAGTGCCAACACAGTGGCCCTTGCCTGAGACCACTGCTACCCCGGGGGCTCTAGAAGACTGCCTTACAGTCACTCCATGCGTCCACGTCTGCTTAAGGAGAGCTGGGAAGGATATTTCTGTACAGGAGCAGAGCCTGCCTCTGCTGTGCACTAGGAGGCTTCAGGGAGGTTATGGAATTCTACGGAACTTGCCACAAAGCTGGCACCAGGGAGAGGTTTTTACCAGGTTCTGAGTCCTGCAGGCCACCTTCTAGCAAGGGAGCAGTAGTAGAAAATGTTTCCCTTGCTGGGCTCTAGGTCCATCAGTAATGCACCCATCTTAAGAAGAGTTTTTCAAAAGTAACTGTTCAGTAGCATTGTCCTCCCGTGTTTCTAACTGTGGGAATCTGTTGCAGGCCTGTTTCCAGAGGTGGATGCTCATGGTGTTGTGTACAGGCAGCCAAAGCTCTGTGTGGGCTTTAGTAAGGAACCCTGGAAAGTGACCGCTGAGCCCCATAAAACAGGTATAAGATGCGTGCGTCAGGACGAGGATTTTCTTCTGAAAATCAAAATTTGGACTGACCTACTCACTAAATGAAAAAGGCAACAGATTTACTGGTCTGATTTTGTCATCAGTGTACAGAGAGCTTTCTCTTAATTCTAGAATAGGGTGGAGACTTAGAAACTGACCCTTACACTCACCTGGGTGAGAAGACCCTTGAGTACAGACTCATGTGAAGTGCTGTCCATTGCATGGTGCTGCTGATCCTTGCTCTGACGGTCTCTGGCTTTCTCCTGCAGAGCCCAGCAGCCCGATCATCTGCAGTGATTACAACACTGATGTGGTCAGTTACTCCAAGGAGCAGCACGCCTTTCAGCCTCAGCCTGGGTCCGGAGACACAAATACACCCAGAGGCCAGGAGATCGTTTGGAGTGACCGAGAACATTCTCCACGTCTCCCAAGCAGCGGGACTGGTGGTGATGAGTCGCCTGCTGATAGTCGGGGTTCTGTTTACCCCAGTAACCATGACAGAATGCCTACGTCGTTGAAGAAAAAGCCAGTGGCACCTGTAGATGGGAAAGGTAGCGTGGTATTTACAGCCTTCTGAGGAACGCGTTGGGACCCGTTTAGCCATTAGCACTGCGGGTAGAAGGCCTGACGTGTTCATTCTTCTCTTGTAGGAGGCTCTTCTTGGACTTTAACAAGGTTGTGTGAGCTGGACTCCCTAGACCCACAGTCCTCATCTAGGCTAGCTTCAGGTAGCCCTGTGCTTACAGAGGCTGGCTCCAGCTTCCTCGATGTCCCCAGTGAAGGCCAGCACTTGCTTCTTCCCAATGGGCACCTAGCCCAGGCATGTAACTCCACTCCCGAGTCCACGCCGCTGACAGGACAGCTCCCCGGGAAGCAGAGTGTCCCACTGCTGTGTGCACCGAAGATCTAGGCTTTGTCGACCTCGGCTCTCGTCGTAGCAATCTCACCCAGGAAAGAGAGGTAGGAGAGGCTGTGAGGAAGCTTGGATCCAAGCGTCACTGATTTGTACATAGTTTTCACTTCCCATGTGGAGTATCAGTTGAGAGAACTTGCATCTGAAGCACAGAAATGCAAAAGGCTGTTGTGTACAAAAGGCAGGAAAAGTATTTGATACCATTGTATATAAGAGTTTTCAGAGATTTCATATATATTATATATCTTTTACAGAGGCTATTTTGATCTTTAGTGCATGGTTAACAGAAAAACAAGTGTACATTTTTGGCAATATTCTTTTTCATATCAGGTTGCTGTTGAATTTGGGGAGGAGGTTGGGATAGTTCTGGTGCCTTAATGCGTGAGTGGAATTTATAGAAGTGAAACCACATTTGCTCCCAGTAGTTGGTGGGGAGGAAGACAGTCCTTGGCATTCTTCTGCACGTGGGAAGCCTTGCAGACCCCAGGGCTCTCCAGGTAGGCCGAGCTGCTCTGAGTCCGCAGTCGAGCTCCGGCAGCGAGTGGATGTTCACCCACTGTAGGCAGAACAATTAAGCAAGCACTGCCTTTCTTCGGTGCTCACTTAGTAATAAAAGCAAACGTGGTCTTGTCAGGGGCATTCGGTTGTCCTTTTGAGGCTTTTTATTAACATAAAAGCTGCTGGTGTTGGTACCTGTGGATTCTTCAATAGTGATGTTTTCGTTTTGCCAATATGATTAAAATTGCATTGACCTAGAATGATATAAAAATATCCAGTTCTTTTCCGGGCTAGCTTATTTCTACTGAGGACCCAGAGCAGGCCTGTCCACGTTACCGTTAATGCTGACCTGGGTTCTGGGTGTATTTGCACTTTTAGGACCTATAACGAACCATCTTGTGCCAATGTGAAATGGAAACAAAGGGCCTTAAAATCTCAGAAATCAAATACCTTCAGCACAAAGCTGACGGTGAATGTTGACTGACGGTGAATATTGACAGTGGTTACCTGTTTTCAATTTCATTGTCAAATGTCATCACTGTTCCGAAAGGTAAGACGTTGAAAGTTTTCTCTTCAACACTTATGTTACTTCCACAAAATATGTGAATTTGCTGCTTCTGAGAGGCAATGTGAAAAGAGGAAGTATTACTTTTGTGTACAAAGTTATTTATTTATAGAAATTTTTGGTACAATGTACATTGGAAAACGTGTAAAATATGGAAGCATCTAACAAATGGCACTTTAGTGTCTTTAATAAAGGTTCATTTATAAATGTTAAGTGTGTGGTTGGGGTCCTTCTTCAGTGCACAGTAACCAGTATTAGTATCACACTGAATAGAAATCCAGCCATTCTGCCTTTAATTACCCTTTTTCCAAAAAAGAAGACTCATACATACAGCTGCACGGAAGAATTTCAACACCACCACTGAATTCCTGACATTTCTCCCTGTTTTTTTCCTAAACCTGGAAGCTCATTAGTCAAGCTTGAAAATCTGAGGGTATGGTGACCTCCCCACTGCATCCAATTCCCGGCACAAACCTTACTGATGAACACACTGTTTCCAGCGCCGGCCAGGCCCCTCCCTGCAGCCTGAGCGGGAGGCCAGCTTGTCACTTGAGTGGCAACTGAGCCGTTGGACGCTTCTTGGTCAAAGACTACAATCGTCTGTTTTGTTTTAGATGAAATTTGACGGTAATTGAGAACAGCAGCCAGCTCACCAGCAAAGAATGCTCAGTGTGCACCTGTAGTCCGGTTTCTGTAAACACAGTGAAAAGCTTCCACGACATGACACACCACACCACCTACCTCCCCTTTCCCATTTTAAAAACAGTTACGACTATCTCAGCTGCCTTCCTGTCAGGTGGCAGGAAATGAAAGATCAGAAAGAGATGAAATGAAAGCTCTGAAGGCCTAGCCTCACCTTCCAAATGTCTTTATTAAAGGGTTCTGAGAAAAGAGCTCACAGTTCTGTCGGGACATCATGGGTTTTGTGTTTTCTGGTCCCTTTATGCCGGCCAGCCTGTACCATGTTTGGTGGAGGACACATTTTCAATGTCTTTTGTCCTAATAGCTGGACAGCCGCTCACCAGAAGAGAGCCGGTTCCCGGTCTTGACAGAGGCTGGTGATGGGCTGGCAGGGTTTCAGGCTTGCTCTCTGCCAAGGCCCAACAGCAAGCTGCGAGTCTGGTCATAAATCCCAAGAAAGATGAAACCTCCCAGACTGATTGCTGCCATTCGAGGGAAGACACCTGCAAATAATCTACGGAAAAAGAGCAGGGGGAAGACCTGAAATCAATCCATCAATCACTCTCTCTTTTCCCCTCCCTCCCTCCCCTCTGTGTGTGAGAGAGACAGTAAGAAACATCAGGGTACCACAGCTGGTTCGACTCAACATCATGCTCATTAACACACACACACACACACACACACACACCCAGCACTGAAAATGCGTTGTGCTTTTTCGTTTAGAATGGCACTACGGTACAGTCCCAGGTAGGCTTGTTGAAATCTGAGTCCAGCTGTTTGCTGGAGAAGTGGCTTAAATACCAAACAGCTGACTTACGAGTATTAGCAATTAAGTTAAGTAACGACTCTCCCAACAATGGTTTTTAAATCGGCCAGACCACTGACTCCAGAGACACTGTTCCCATGTTAGAAATCAGTTCTTTTGAAAGCAGGCCCAGGCTGCTAGCCCACGGTGCTCTCCAGAGGGGTCCTGTGCAGAGCAGGAGATGGTCAGAGAGCCGGGCTGCTCCTCCCAGTAACCCTGGCACTCTGCCCTCAGACACCCACCCATGTGACTAGTCCCCGGTCTCCTTTCCCCTGATTAATCACAAGAGCGACAGTTGGGAAGGTAGCCACTTCCAGACCAGCGTGGTCCACAGCATTCAAGTGGTAACACTAAATTACCCAAGAAAGGGCAAATGAAAACCAGTGAGACTGAACTCTCTTCAGGGATAACGATGCTGAAGTGGGGGCCACACACGGAAGGCAGCCCAGGTGACATGCCCTGCCTGTATTCCTATGGCATTCCTGAGTTACCACTTTCGTGGAGTCCTGGTGTGCCGCTGTGGGTTAATGCGCCGCACTGCTATGTCGGTTTCAACACCAAGGTAAGTGTTCAAGCTCACCAGCTGCTCCTCAAAAACTGTATGCAGGGTCGCTAGGGTTCAGAACCAACTCGATGGCACTTAGCAACCACCACTTTCGCACGCAGAACGCCATTACAAATTTAGAACAACTGCATATATTAGTGAGAAGACGTCTGGTCTAATCTAAGGGAAAAACAAAGCGCTCAGGTTATGGCAACAAAACCCCCACGAGAAGCTAGATGGGTGCTCCCCTAGAGTGAGCACCTCCTCGCTGCAGAACTGGAGGTCAGTACTCGGCAGCTTGAGAAAAACCGGAGACCTACGAGCAGTTTCATGGGATCTCTAGTCCGCTAACAGACTCCAGGGTAAAATGCCACACATGAATTTTAAGAACGTCTTTCTGGTCTAGAAATGATAAAAACGTTAAATAGAAGACCAAAATAAACTTGAAAGGAAAAAGAAAAAAGTTGCTCAGTTCAGTGTCATGCAAACTGCTTAGTCTGAGGCAGCTGGTGAGGACAGACACTAGGAAACTTCTGTTTTGAGGCTACTCTGGCCGGTCAAGGAGAATCATCTCACAGCCCAGCCCAGCCCAGCCCGTCTAGTATAAACAAAGGGTGAGAAGCGAGGTAAGCAGAAGCCGGGATGTGGAGGGCCATCTTACTTATTTGTAAAAGCCAGTGTCTTGTTTGGCTTTTAAGGCTAATGAGCTCAGCTGCACCTGGCAAGAGGCAGATGGAAGCTGTTTATAGTTTCATTGGCTGACAATTGAATGTATTACCATAATGACAGCCTTAAAGTCATTTGTACCGTGAGCATACCCCAACAAAACGGGAGGCTAAGAAGACCAGGAAGGGAGCAGGGCCCTCTCTTCTAGGGACCGAGCACAGGTCACAGGTGATATCAAAGGTACAGCGTTGTTTCGCACACTGCTCACAGCAGAATGAATTCTAACAGGAAAAGCAGGACAGGGTAGTGGGACAAGCAGATGTCTCATCTGCTTCCTGCCGCCTGCACTGAACCAGCACATCGTGTTTCTATTTAGGAAAGGCCGCTAGCAGGGGGAGATGGCTCAAATATGGACACCAGTCATCTGTGAGACTCCGCCTGGAGACACGGTCCAGTGTGAGGTGGGGAGCCCCCGGGGTAGGAAGCTCTGTGACGGAATACCCTCCAATACAAAGGGGCTTCAAAACACTCATGGAAAACGGGTATCTTTCTACTTTCTCCTGAACTGTTGTAGCCCCTCTTGTGTGTGTGTGTGCACGTGAGCACACAAGGAGGAAGACGGGAAGGAAGCTGCATGATGGAAGCAGGCTAATTAACATCCATGTCTACATCAGAGGTCAGACTTGGATTAAGTGAAAGCCACTGTTACCCACAATACTCCACTGAGACCACATGACTTTGGGCTTTGGCACAAATCCCCATCACATTCCCACGGCTGACACACAGTGGGAGAAGGGACACTGGAGCACCCCGCCCTGTGGCACTGCCTGGTGACATCACGTTAAGGACCACCCACTAGACTAGTGGGGCAGGAAAAATCGATCTTCTATTCAAGAAATGGGAGCGCAGTGGCTCCATACCATTAAGCACTGGACTGCAAGTCACGAGGTGGGCAGTTCGAGCCTACCAGCCATTCTGGGAGAACAATGAGGCTTTCTGTTCCCCTGAAGATTTAAAGCCGTGGCAACCCAATACAGGGTCACTATGAGTGGGAACCAATAGTACTTAACAACATTCAAGAAATGTCCACCTCTACAAGCTTTCGGTGGTCACGGTTTTGACAGCCTCAGATAGAATCACTTTTTCATGGAAGGCAAACTCCACAGAAATATATGGAAACAAAACAGAACTGCAGTTGTTAGGTTTGTTACGAGTTTAAAAGCAACAGCAGGCACATGTCTATGTGACCACCTCATTCCTTGAACCACTGAAGAATCTGCTACCTCCCCGTGAACTCCGCTGTCTCTCACGCTTTCTTTGTTAAACGTGGAACTGATGTTAGAATGAATGTGCCCCAGTATGTGGCAAACCCAGATTCCTGGTATACAAGTGCATGCTAGACCTCAGTAATGAATCTCATTATATTCCTCACTGTGAAACTCAGCCTTTCTCTGCAAACCCTTAAGTCCTTCAGACAGGCCTCCCCCGACCCCCGGAGCTGTCACACACCCCAGAACCACCCCCTCTGCTCCCTACTTTTCATACTTGCAGTTGGAGACTTTGAAGAGGAGGTGGGGTTGCTCTCCTCCAAACAGCTTTCCCTGTGACCTAACCTACTTACTTCATGTTCCTCAGGTTATCAAATATGTGAAATTCAAAACCTGCCACCAAATGCACCCCAAAACTACAACCAAATAAGCCATCCCACTCAGCAATGGGGTGAGGCAAGAGCACAAGCATCCCAAGCGGCCCAAAGACCAGGACTCCCTACTCTGCCGCAGTCCTGCTCTCCACACTGGCTCACTCCACCAGGAAGCGGCTGCTTTGCTCCCCCAAACGGCTCCTGGTAGATGATTCTTAGAAACATGTCAGCTTCATAAATTGTAAGAGCAATGCTGAAACAACATTCCCAAGAGAGCTGCTGATGAGATGCTAGAAGTTGCTTACTCAATAGTAAAGAACACTGGCTCTTGAACCTGCAGGTGTCATGCACTGTGGCATGTTGGAGGGAATGTGCAGCTAATAACAGTTAATTCATCCAAACCACAGAGGCTTCCCCCTAACAGCGGTACCCTCACTCACTCAGCATCCCAGCCTTGTGAAAAGCTATTATCTATTTTATTCATGGGAATGCCCTCTAACATTAAGCTAAGTGGCTAAGAATCACTGGGCTGTAAAAATGCACCAACTTGATTGTGCGATATGATCTCATACATTCAACAATGAATGTAACATTTGAATAATATCAAGAAACACATAATAATATAAAAAGACCACTAATGAGGACAAAGAAGTTCTGGTGTTACAGTGGCTAAAGCACTAGGCTGATGGTAAGTCAGTGGTTCAAACTTACCAGCCACTCAGATGGGGAAACCTGGAGCAGCCTGCTTCAGTCAAGATTTACAGGTTCGGGCACCTTATGGGGACGTTCTACTCTACATGGGGTTACTATGAGTCAACAGTGACTTGATGGCATCTGACAACAACTAGGACATAAACAGAAAAAGGGAACACTTTCAGCCATTGTCTCTCTGGCTAAAGTACCCTGGAGGAAAAGAGGAAGAGGCAGTGGAGAGGTAGGCCGACACTGGGCCATTCTCTGGTCCTTACCCTGATATCCCGTGTGTCCGCCAGACACCACACAGAGCAGAGAGTACCTTCCCACTGGCAGTACTGGATCCCGTCTGTAGGAAAAGACAACGGTGAAGTCCGTGACCCCAGGACACGCTCCGGTTCAGGGCTCTCTATCGCCGTCCTCTAGGGTCCACTTCCCAACAGACAAGGCTGCATTGCTCCTCTGTCCTACTCACCCAGGACAGGGCTCTTCACACCCGCACTGACTGGGCCCGTGAGGGGCTTTTCTGAGTGAGTTCTCTCATCAAATCATCAGCAGAGCCACCCAGATTATTCATGTTCTACTTTAACGGAGCTCTGGTAGCGTAGTGGTTACGAATCAGGCTGCTAACCCAAAGGTCGGCAGTTTGAAACTACCAGCGGTTTGCGGGAGAAAGATGAGGCGTTCTGCTCCTGTAAAGATTTACAGCCTCTAAAACCCTGTGCAGGGTCACTATGAGTCGGAACCGACTCCATGGCACTTAACAACTTTAACGGAAGGACGGACGGACGGACAGTGATGTGCTGATCTAAGAAGGATAGGGAATATAACCAGCATAAATGGTACATTTATGAAACGTATTTAACTTACTAAAGAAAGCTATGTTCAATTTAAAACATAACTGGAATGCTTACGTTTGGTCCTGTCAACGTAAATGCTAGAATTCTGCCGTAACTACTCCACAAGGATCTGACTTTTTTTCCTGTTTTTTATTGTTTTAGTTCAGAAATATGTGCATCATTCCCAAGGTTGCTTAGCCTAGAATTTCAAAGGAAACATGTGTATCTTGTAACAGAACCGTAAGCAATTCTGACAAGTGTCCAGACTCGCCTAGTTAAGGCCAAGTATGACCTGCGTTCACAGCCCACGGATGACTTGCTGCATGACTTAGAGCAAGCCGACTTCTCAGAGCCTTAGGCCGGTCCTGAAAATCATCCATCTACAGAAGCGTGACAGTTCCACTGGCACAGAATGAAGGGACCCAGGATTCTGAAGCGTACAATACTAGGTACACACTGGCCACAGTGAATGCTGTGGAGAGCTTTAAACAGCTGACCAGAGCACCTCTGAGAATGCTGGCAGGCGGCTGCCACTGTTTCAGCAGACTGCTCCACTGCTCTATGCACTTTAGAGACACGTGACTATAAATCTATCAGTACCAATAGATGCAGTATGTACCTGTCGGGTCGACATTACCTTATGTCACTCACCTTTGCCAACATAATTCTTGTCTTTGCCACATCTAACGGCGTGGTAACTGCTGCTGCAAATCCACCTGTGCACATCACAACACATGAGGAAGATCATGTTCATAGACTGTATGATGACTTAACAATTTATAGGGCCTCTTAACTCTGGCAAAATACAACCCTGGCACCTACCTTTCCTGATTTGAAACCATTCAGTATCCTGTTGTTCTATTCTTTGGACTGCCTCTTGGTCTATGTACAGGTTTTCCTGAGCACATTTAAGTGTCCTGGAATACCTAATCTTTGCAATGTTATCTATAACCTGTCATGATCCAAACAGTCGGAAGCTTCTGCGTGGACAATATAGCAAAGGTCAACATTTTTCTAGTATGCTCTGCTTTCAGTCAAGATCCATGTGATGTCAGCAATGAGATCGGCTTGGTCCACATCTTCGTCTGAATCTGACTTGAATTTCTAGTAGCCCCCTGTCAATGTACTGTTGCAGCTGTTTTTGAATTACTTTTAGCAAAATTGTATTTGTATGTGATATTAATGATAGTGATCGATGATTTCCACATTCACTGGATCACCTCTTTGGAATGGGCTTCAATCGGTTGTCCAGGTATCTGTCTTCCAAACTTTCTTGGCTAGATGAATGAGGGTCTCTAGTGCTGCTTCAGTTTGTATACTGTCAATTTCAGGGCCTTTCCCCCCCAATATCATCAGTACAGTGTGGGTCATCCTTCAGTATCATTGGTTTTTGATCATATGTCACATCTTGGAATACACACTGACCATTTCTTCTTTTGATGTGTTCTGCATCGTTGAATATTTTGCCTGTTGTTGCTGTTAAGTGCCACCGAGTCGGTTTGGACTCATAGCTATCCTGTATAGGGTTTCTGAGGAGCAGCTGGTGGATTTGAACAGCCACCCTGTGGTTCAAAGTCCAGTGCTGATCCTACAGTGCTATGCCAGAAGTCGTTTTGCCTATAGATTCCATAGTGCAAGTTGAAGCAGACATTTTCTTTTTAGTTCTTTCAGTTTGAGAAATGCTAAGTGTGTTCCTCCCTTTTGGTTTTCTAACAACAAGTCGGCACATTTCATTATGATACTTTGTCTTCTCAAGCTGCCCTTTGAAATTTTCTGTTTAGCACTTTGACTTCCTCATTTCTTCATTCACTTTAGCATCATTATGCTGGGGAGCAAAGTTCACAGCATTTTCTGACATCCATTTTGGACTTTTCTTTGTAATGATCTTTTGCTCTCTTTCTGTATGATGATGTTCTTGATGTCATTCCAAAGCAATTCTGGTCTTCGGTCATTAGTGTCTAATGCTTCAAATCTGTTCTTCAGATGGTCTCTAAATTTAGGTGACTATGTTCAAAGTCATAGTTCGGCTTTTGTGGACTTGCTTTAATATTCTTCAGCTTCAGTATGAACTTGTTGTTATAGCTCGAGATGACAAAGTCAGGAATTATAATATAAAGTCAAGAAAAATATACAAAGAACTGGAGTTATACAATAAAAAGGGAAGAAAACACTCCACATTTCTCCATCCCAAATAACTGAAAATAAATTGAGCCTCCAAAGCCTGGAGTTACCAGACTGAATGATTCCATGGGCAAAATACTGAAGGATGCAGGTAGCCTCACTGGAAGATGGAAGAAATCCAGAGTCACTGTACCAAAGAGAACTGACAATATTCAACCATTTCAAGAGTGAGCTTATGATTACGAACAGAGGGAATTAACAGGTTCAAGCTGCTCGGAAGGCACTGGTGCAAAACAAGGGTCCAACAATTGAAGGAAAACAAATTGAAATGTTTCCATAAACTGATGCAGTGCTGAAGGCAGTCACTACGCCCAGAAATTTGTAGAACAGCTACCTGCTCTACCGACTAAAGTGATCCACGTCTATACTAATTCAAAGAAAGGTGACCCAATTTAAATCATCAAACAATATAATTAATACCCCACACAAATAAAATTGCAAACTTTGTAAATCATCATTCAATTCAAAACAAAAGAGAGAAAAAGAAGATTTAACCAGTACACCAACAGAGAGGCGCTAGAAAATCAATACGGATGAGAAGAGGACACTGGCAAGGGACAGTACTGCTGACCTCAGATGGATCTAGGCTGAAAGCAGAGAATACTAGCAAGATGTTTGTCTGTGCATTGTTGATTATGCAAAAGACATTCAACTGTGTAGATAATAACAAACTATGGCTAACATAGCAAAGCATGTGACTTGCAGAACACTCCATGGTGCTCATGAGAAACCAGGAGGTAGTCGTTCAAACAACACAATGGCTTAAAGTCAGGGAAGGTGTGCAACAGGGTTGTAGCCTTTCACTAGACTTACTCAGTCTGTAAACTAAGCAAATAATCAGAAAAGCTAGATTGTATGAAGAACATGGCATCACTATTGGAGGAAGAATTATTAACAGCCTGTGACATGCAAATGACACAATTTGCCTTGCTGACAGAGAAGAGAACTTGCAATACTTACTGATGAAAATCAAAGACCACAGAATTCAGAATGGGTGCACCTCAGTATAAAGGAAACAAAAATCCCCACACCTGGACCAATAAATAATATCTCGATAAACAGAGAAAAGACTTCATTTTGCTTGGATCCACAATTAACACTCACGGGAGCAGCAGTCAAGAAGTCAAATGATGTATTTCATTCGGCAATCTGCTGCTCAAGACCTCTTTAAAGTGTTGACGAGCATGATGTCAGTTTGAGGACTAAGGTGCATGAGACCCAAGCCATGGTATTTTCAACTGTCTCATACACCTGTGAGAGTAGGATAACGAATAAGGTAGACCAAAGAAGAACTGATGCATTGAGTTATGGTGTTAGGGAAAAGTATGAAACTGCCAGGAACAAACAACACACTTTCCACCCTAAGAAGCCCTGAGGAGATACACCAAAGGATCTCAAAAATCAACAGCTCAAAAGTCTTCCTAACATTTCAGCTTGTATAAGCCAGGGTGAAGCAGGCATTTATAAAGGAACAGTTGAACAGAACATGTGTGAGATAGGGATGTTCCCAAAATAGCTTCCTCAATTGTGTGGCATGTGGACAAGAAGCACTTGATCTCTGCTAAATACCTTTCTAATTATGTTGACAAAATAAGATTGTTACATTGTACCTCTTTCATCTGGTTACATTTATGATGTCAGTGACTTTTAAAAAGATGTCCTATATGGGTTGCCCAGGAATGACACATTCTTGAGGAGGATTAACTAACATGGGTGCTAGAATCCCCTTTATCACTGCATTATGAATCCCCTTTACCACTACATTTTGAATACGGGAAACACATTCTTCCACATTCAAAAGTTGTCTGCAATTCAGAGACATGCTAAATTTCACGTCTTTACAACTAAGGATCTGCTCTGTAAACCTTCACTCAATTCACAATAAAAGATTTAAAAAAAAAATTAATGTGTATAGTCACGAAATCTTACTTCTATTATTACTTTTTAAGCCACAGATCCTGTCTTAGAGTAAAATAATTTTAATTATAGAAAATAATCCAAGAAGACTTCATCCATGCAACAGAAAAGAGGAAGTAAAATAACGAGAGAGGAGTAAAGGAAGGAAGGAGAGGAAGGGAGGGGTCAGTCAATGAACCCACACTACCCCAGAATTTCCCAGCCACAAACATTCTGTATGACTTTGTTTCCCTTACTGACTGTGAGGTCCAGCAAGACTTTGCATGAAAAAACCCTTCTTTGGAGTCAGGAAGACCAAAGCTTAAATCTCTGCTGGAAGTGACTATTCTTTAAAGGGCCTTATGAGAACACTCCTGGTGTGGCGCTATAGGATAAACATTGGACTGCAATCCACAAGGTCGGTGGTTCATGCCCACCAGTTGCTCCTTGGAAACCCTGTACAGGGTTGCTATGAGTTGGAACCGACTCAACAGCGCTTCACAGTAACAACACTGAGAACTGAAGTACTCTCATCTCTCCATTTTACAGATGGAGACTCGGAAGCTTAGAGTTTGCTGGCAGAGCTGAGGGTATTGAGTCACCCTGTCTCTAGGACCCGAGCTCTTGGCCACTGGCCTCCTACTGGCCTCAGTTTTCTCATCTGTGAAGTACAGATACTTTTATCTACTTCCTACAGCAGGGTTAAATAAACTATGCCTGGCCCATAGTATCCAAGAAGGACTCTTTTCTGGGTAGGCAGGGACACGTGAGTTTTTGTCCTATGCTAGCCGAGCACACACAGTAAGTAGGTCCCTAAGCCTAGGTGACATGGACAATGCAACAGTCTGGAATTTGTACAAACTGAAGATTACAACTTGCTCTCTCAAAGGGAGGAAGGAGCTGCTATCTGGGGCGTGCTTCCCCAAGCCAGCACTGTCCTGGTCATTTGCCCTGGTCATTTTTACTGCTTACCTCAGGTGCATAGATATATCTATGAAGGATCCCTGGTAGTACAGTGGTTAAAGCACTCAGCTGCTAACCCAATGGTTGGCGGTTTAAACCTACCAGCTGACCTGTGGAAACTGTACCCGTAAAGACTTACAGACTCAGGAACTGTAAGGAAGCAGTTCTACCTTGTCTTAGAGAGTCACGATGAGTCAGCATGGACTTGAGGGCAGCAGGTTTTCTGGTGTTTTTTTCAGAGATCTTTCTCCTGTTATACAGACAATTTGCCCAGACCCACACTGCTTACAGAGGGCCAGAACTCCAACTTAGGCCCATCTTGGCTCCAACAGTAGTACTCTTTGCAATAAATAATGGATTGGGAGACAAAATTTAAGAGTTAAGGCTCAGAGGTGCACATACTATTCTCATGCTATTTGAAAATGTTCACAAACTGTCCTAAACCAACCAAAAAACCCTACGGATTGCCAGGTAAGATCACTTGTCCCTCGACTGATCATGCAAATTTTGATGTTGAAAACTGTCTTTAAAATACCTTTGGATGTAGCAAATCACACTTATTCTGGCTACGCAGTCTTACCCTCCCTTCAGTGTGAGATGCCTGTGTATATATTCTCTCAGGGACTTATGAAGGTCAACAATCTGCTTCAATAAAGTAATATGAAGAAAAGTTACA